TTATCAGTAAAGCCGGTTCTGTAATCAGCGGTAAATCTCCATCACCTGCGGGCTTTCACATTGAGCAGCATCAACTACACAGAGCCGTTGTTCACTGATGAGCTGCGCAAAACCACGTTCATATTCGCGCAGTTCGTCAGTGAACAACGGCTCTGTGTAGTTAATGCTGCTCAATGTGAAAGCACGCAGGTGATGGAGATTTACCGCTGATTACAGAACCGGCTTTCTGACAAGATGCGCATTAAATATCGCATGCGATTTATCGTGCAGCCCTAAAAGTAACAAAACTAATAAAAATGATAAAAGCACATAAGAAAATGAAAGAAAATGAAAACTGAAAAACTAAAAATAGCTAAAATTCAAAATATTAAATACTAGAATAGTAAAAAAAAAACACTAAAATAACATTGCACTGAACAATATAAATCATAAAGGAAAAAGCACATTACTCTGACCTCGTCATCCTCATTGTTGAGCGGACAAAGTCGAACACGTGATTGGTCAAGGCAAAGGACATCACTGTAGCGATTCTTTATCTGGTTAGAGACTTTCCTGTCAGAATAAGCATTATATTTATATAAGCAAGTCTTTGTCTATAAATGTATCATCTTTTCAGCCATTCCTTGAAAGCAAAAGTCACTTACTTAGAGTAGTCAAAGGTTCCAGCAGGAAGTTCTTTGCGGATCTCCTCGTACTCCTGATAAATGCACTTCTTCTTTTTACGTTTAACGTGCTGCACCAGATCCTGCATGCTCATTCCGCCTGGCTCAGCCACATGCACTGACAATGCAGCCGTTTCCGTTCCCGGGAACCAGCTCATATTCGGGGCAGAGCTGTGATGGAGAGGTGGCGGCCTTGATTTCAACGGGAGGGGTGGAATGCCATCTCCCCCATCCACTTCCTCTTCCAGAAACTCCACATCCTGTTGGCTGTCCTCAGCGCCATTGCCATCCTGCCTACTGTCGTACAAACATGCACCTTCCATACCCACAGTCCCGCCACCTCCTGGTACTATGGCACCAGCTGTGTGTTTTTGATGCAGAGGTGTGTCTGGGGGCGTGTCTGACTGTGGTGGCGGATGCCGGCCACGGCCATTGATGACATTGGCGTTGGACCCCGAGATTCCCCCTGAACCTGGCAGTACAGAGCCGTTCCAATGTGCATGTCCCGCTGTCCTGTGGTTCTGCAGGTTGGCATTTCCGTCATCCAGTATGGGGCAGTTTGAGTTCAGTCCATCCCCCAGGAGAGTGGCCCCTGAAGTATTGGCAGTTAAGGGGTCTGCTGAAGTGTTCTGGCCATGCTCCATGGAGTAGGAGCGGAGCAGACTGCCCAAGCAGTCCGCAGTGACGTAGGGCGAGTTATTAGGGTGGTTGGGGCTGGAGTTGACACAGGACTGGATCCAAGCAATGTGACTATACTGTGACGAGCCACCCAAATGTTCTGGAAGAGAGCTGAACGGTATGTGATTGACCAGTTCGTGGGCTTTTACAGTGCACACCTGCAGAGGTATCACATAAATACAAACAAGCAATCACATTCAATGTATTGCACCCTTAAAAATAATTAATGTAGCACTGTCCACTTGGAAAAGTTTAATGTTTGCATGTGCAGAACTCTAGACATACCCTCTCTCTCAGTTTCTCTCTCACAAACAGACGGAGTACCGTAAACGGTGCTCTGAACCACAGCGGCGACGACACAATAAAGACACATTTCAGACGAGCAGGGAAAGCCCCCTAAATCACAAAAAAGACAGTAAGCACAACATACAAAGGACTGTGCCAATCCCCTCCACAGACCCACCCATTAAACAAACCCTCTGAAAAATCAAGAAGTAAGTTTGTGGTTGATAAGTTTTTTGGTTTTTTTTGAAAGCAGCCCCTTATGCTCATCTAGGTTCAATTTATTTCATCAAAAATACTGTAAAATAAGTAATATTGTGAAATCTTATTATAATTTTCTTAGGGATGCATGAAATTGGATTTTTGCCGATAGTTTTCAACTCATTTTGGCCGATACCGATATATTTCCTTTTGTTTGGAAACAACACCAATTCTCTCCTGTGCAGAAATTATAAGCAAAATATTTTTCATTTTGGTTAGTTCATTAGTAACTTATTTGTTAGAATTAAATAAACAATAATGAAGTTTTTTTTTGACAGTACATTGAAGTTTTGAAAATAACTATAAATAAATTATATATCAATTTTTTTTCCCCGGAAAGATGCAAGGTTAACCCTAACATTTTATTTTAAGATTTAACATTTGTAGGTGGTCTAATGTAAAATAGTTGTAAAAATTCTGAAAATCTTTTAGAGCTTATGATTTGTTTAAAAAATAAAACATATTACATATTAATGAATAAATCAGTATATATAAAAAATATTTAATTTACAAGTGTCATGTTTGTTTTTTTTTCATGTAAGCTATAGCTTCTGACCTTTAAATCAAAACATACTCATTATTTTATGACATCAATTACTGCTTTATTTAATCAGAAACACAGTCTAACACCGTGTCCTAACTACACGCAACGCGATGCAGTCAAAGATGCACGTGATGCACGTGATAAAAGGTATCTTTTCCATGTTAATCTGAGTTTTTGTCCTAACTAGCAGCGACTGCGACTCGCGAAATTTCTAATTTAGAAACGGTTTCAATTTCCGCGACGTCGCGGCTGGAACAGCAACATACAAACTATATGACAGTAGATAATATCAGGTGATTATGTGCTTTATTCAAAGTTAAACGTCTCTAATATGAGTTTAAATATAATTTAGTGTGACCTTATAGCCATACTGAAAGCAACAACAGATAGTTTACCTCAGATCTTGAAAATAAATTAAAGCAAAGATGACCATTAAAACTGTGAACTCACTGCGAACCAACGAGTGTATTCCATAACAAAGATGTTATCAGTCACTCAGTATGTACATTTAATTATGTTAAAAAGCTTTAATATTTATGAATTAGATTATAAGCATCCATTTCGTTGCGAGTGCAGTGCGCTTCCAGAGAGAGCCCGCCCACAAACGCTTCTGATTGGCTGTGATATTTGATTGATTCTGTGGTGTCGCATCTGGTGTGGACACCCAAATTGCTTGTCGCTGGACTCTTGTCGCATCGCGTGTAGTTAGGACACGGTGTAAATGTTATTCGTGTAGGCTATTTTACTTTTAATTTAATTAGACTAACAGCGCCCCCTACAGATTAAAACTCTTTATTGAGCGGGCGTTAGGACCTGGGGGAGGCTGTCACTGCTGCCACTGCACGTGTTATTACTGTTTACTCTATCACACATGATTGGCTGTGATATTTGATTGATTCTGTCGTGTCGCGTCTGGTGTGGACACCCAAATTGCTTGTCGCTGGACTCTTGTCGCATCGCATGTAGTTAGGACACGGTGTAAATGTTATTCGTGTAGGCTATTTTACTTTTAATTTAATTAGACTAACAGCGCCCCCTACAGATTAAAACTCTTTATTGAGCGGGCGTTAGGACCTGGGGGAGGCTGTCACTGCTGCCACTGCACGTGTTATTACTGTTTACTCTATCACACACCGAACACATCATTCTGTACTTGCTTTCACAGATTAAATGCAGCGATCCAAACAGTCAATCTAATCATCATTCAGACAAAACTTTGCTTCAAGAATGAGCCACACTGCTGACCTGATCTAATCGCTAGCACACCCTGAGCTCATGCGAGTTAACGTATTCTTCTTATCGGCAAGACATATCGGCATAATTTTTCATATCGGGCAGATGCCGATATTTACATTTAAGGCCATTATCAGCCGATTCCAATATCAGTCCGATAATATCGTGCATCCCTCAATTTTCTTTAAAATTTTAATATACTGTATTTTAACTTTTTTTTTCCTGTGATGGCAAATCAAAATTTTCAGCAGGCATTTATACTATATTACTGTCCACACCAATGCATGATAACATTCTATTTATTAGTCAGGTGCATTTTGATTGGCTGTCAAAGTTTTTATCGTTCATCAGTTGGAAAAACAATTATTCTGAAAATTATATTGTTCCTCTGTGTTGTTATGCTTATAGTTGTGATGTAGACATCTCTACTCTCAAAGAATCAGAACGATTATTAAAACTTTACATTTATCATTATAGTTATTGTCCTCAGTGTCAACAGGTCTATTTTTGTGGAACCCATTACACTTTTCAGGATTCTTTGATGAATAGAAAGTTCAGCAACAGCATTTATTTAAAATAGATGTAAAAATAGATTTGTAACCATGTAGAAGTCTTTACTGTCACTACTGACAGTCACTATCATTAATTTAATGTGTCCTTGCTAGTGTAGTGTATCTGTAAATACACTATGCCTAAAAGTGTGTGGACGGCCAAGCACTGTACTCATATACTGTATGTTTGCTGAAAGTTATATTTTAGAACCATGTGCATTAATATCAGGTTCATCCTCCTTTTGCTGCTTTTAAAGCTTCCACTGTTCTAAAAAGACACTAGATGCTGGGGATTTGCTCACATTCAGACCCGACAGCATCTGTGAGGTCAGGCAGTGAAGATGAGTGATGGGTCCTGGCTCACAGTCTGCGGTGCAATTCATCCCAAAGGTGTTCAGTGGGGCTTTGTGCAGTTCTTTCACACGAAACTCAGTAAATAATCTTTCCAGATCTAGCTTTGTGCACAGGGGCATTGTAATGCTGGAACAAAAAGAGTGCGTCTCTTTTTACTAAAAATATTTGTCTAAGGAGGATTGTGGATATGTGCTTGATTTTATGCACCTGTAATGGGTGGAGCTAAAACAGCTAAATCTGTTAATTAAAAGGGGATGTCTGCATACTTTTCGTCAATTCTGGAAAAAAGAAAGAAACTTGGTCTCATGCACTTTTATAATTATTCGGTCAATGGTCTCCCTAAGATAGCAGGACTTATCGACTTGAAAAACAACATTTTTCAAGATATTTCAAGAACTACTCATTATTTCATTTGCTCCACTATAACCGTTTTTTTCAATCAGAGGATTTTTTTAACCACACAGACAGTTTCCAAGTACAAGATTTAAAATGCATTAACTAAAACACTGAATTTTATTTTAACACTGTATTTTGCCCAATACACTACCATTCAAAGGTTTGGGGTCAGTCATTTTGTTTATATATCTTTTTTTTTGGATATGAAAGAAATTAAAACTTTTATTCAGCAAGGATGCGTTAAATTAATCAAAAGGGACAGTAAAGACCTTTATGTCTGTGTCAAGTGCTGTTCTTTTAAACTTTCTATTCATCAAAGAATCCTGAAAAACAATGTATCACAGTTTCCACAAAAATATAAAGAGGCATAACAGTTGTCAACATCAATAATAATAACCTTGAGAATCAAATTAGCATTCTAGAATGATTTCTAGGGATCATGTGACACTGAAAACTGGAAGAATGACTGCTGAAAAGTTAATAAGAAACGGATCATAGAGATGTGTACAATTCTGGCATAATATGTTGACAGATTATCCTAGATATACAGTGGGTACGGAAAGTATTCAGACCCCCTTCAATTTTTCACTAAGGTGTTCAGTGGGGCTTTGTGCAGTTCTTTCACACGAAACTCAGTAAATAATCTTTCCAGATCTAGCTTTGTGCACAGGGGCATTGTAATGCTGGAACAAAAAGAGTGCGTCTCTTTTTACTAAAAATATTTGTCTAAGGAGGATTGTGGATATGTGCTTGATTTTATGCACCTGTAATGGGTGGAGCTAAAACAGCTAAATCTGTTAATTAAAAGGGGATGTCTGCATACTTTTCGTCAATTCTGGAAAAAAGAAAGAAACTTGGTCTCATGCACTTTTATAATTATTCGGTCAATGGTCTCCCTAAGATAGCAGGACTTATCGACTTGAAAAACAACATTTTTCAAGATATTTCAAGAACTACTCATTATTTCATTTGCTCCACTATAACCGTTTTTTTCAATCAGAGGATTTTTTTAACCACACAGACAGTTTCCAAGTACAAGATTTAAAATGCATTAACTAAAACACTGAATTTTATTTTAACACTGTATTTTGCCCAATACACTACCATTCAAAGGTTTGGGGTCAGTCATTTTGTTTATATATCTTTTTTTTTGGATATGAAAGAAATTAAAACTTTTATTCAGCAAGGATGCGTTAAATTAATCAAAAGGGACAGTAAAGACCTTTATGTCTGTGTCAAGTGCTGTTCTTTTAAACTTTCTATTCATCAAAGAATCCTGAAAAACAATGTATCACAGTTTCCACAAAAATATAAAGAGGCATAACAGTTGTCAACATCAATAATAATAACCTTGAGAATCAAATTAGCATTCTAGAATGATTTCTAGGGATCATGTGACACTGAAAACTGGAAGAATGACTGCTGAAAAGTTAATAAGAAACGGATCATAGAGATGTGTACAATTCTGGCATAATATGTTGACAGATTATCCTAGATATATATTGTGAATACTGAATATATCAGCAAACCCTAATTGTATGTGACTGAATATTATTAATAAACCTCCAGTTCTCCGCATATTACAGGGATAACAGCAAATACAGATGACAGATGAAAAGCTTCCTATATATCAAAAGAGTAAATCCAAGCTCCACTGAGTTCTGTTATTGCAATATGAACGCACTGTGAAACAGACAGATGGTTCTGACAGCATAACAACACTTACTTTAAGCAGATTCAAAATCTTGACGCAAAGCTCATAGTCAAAATTGCCATATGTGGAGTTAGTCATATCATAGATGAAAATGAGCCCATCTCTCTGTGTCTGAACGCTGAGGGAGACAAAGATGATTTAGATGAAAATGCAGAGCTGTTAACCATATTAAATTTGATCAGATTTATGGATGTGGTCTATTTTACCTCTCAATGGCCTTGTCCAGCTGATATATAATGGCCTGAAGAACAGCCTTATGGGTAGTGAGGTCTGGCCGATGGAGACGTGCTGTAAAAAGTGCCAAAGCCGCACCTTTCGCGTCACGACCGGGCTATACACACAGAAGCCAAATTAATGCATACACAACTTGTAAAAACATGCATAGGGTGACCAGATTTCTCATGGTTCAATATGGGCGTGGGGGGATTGTGATATATGACCACAATATGAGAAATTCTATTTCATGGTATCTAAATTATATATATATACACACACACGTACATCGTTATTTTTATATAAAAATAAAGAAGCAAATTACAATATATTGCGATCCTGTAAGCAAGATGATATATTGGGATATTTCTTATTTTAGGAATAGGAGAATAGGACATAATTTTAGGAAAACCACGTTTTGTGCAGTACGAGTGAAGGGAGAACAATTAAGTGCTTGCAGGAGTCAGATTTGACTGATCATGGGTCGAGAGGAGGGATGACCTATTGAAGGGGGTCTGAATACTTTCCGTACCCACTGTATATGGACTGGACTATAATATTATTATAATAAATATAAAACTATAAATATTAATATTATAATATTTATAAAACAGTTAGTTCCATTCCTCGATTCTGATTGGTCAGCAGCCGTGTTTTATTCACGTTTATGTATTTCGGCAGAATTAACTATTTATTTATTTAATGAAGAATGACTGACCCCTGCTGGCGTTATGTTGCATCTTTCATTTTTAATTTTTGAGACCCCGCCCTTCCTCGTCTAATAAATGCTTCTCATGCAGAGATATGTTGATGTGTGTGTGGCGCGCGTCTGTGTGGAAGCCTACAGTTTAGGCTTCCCAGGAGGGGATATTACAATATTTATTATTTTTCTGTTTCAGGTATGATTCTATAGCTATGTCCATCAGTTTACACTGTAATGACGCTTGCAAACTCACGCTGTACCGCGAATCGGTCTGTTTTAAAACTAAAAGACGGGAAAACAGACATTTTCTCATGCTGAGAGATAAGCAGATGTATGTGTGTGAGAAAACATCATATATGGTGTTAAAAAAAATAAATGACAGCGTATGATAAGAGCTCCTATTCTCTGTTTTTATTTAAGCTCCATTAGATGAGGCATGTTCGGAACATTCTCTTGCCGTTTACTGTTGCTGTCAGGAACTATTTTTTAGCAGAAGGACAGCATTTAACGAACTTGCTTAAAAAAAGTAACATTTCAATACATACATTTTTGGTTTTAATATTTTTTATTGTGTGGTAACGCTTCGCGTCGTGCGTGTATTTTTTATTGTGTGGTAACGCTTCACGTCGTGCCTAACAACACCCTTCAGCCGTGATTTATTCACGATACAGCACGGCCTCTCGTACCTTATTGCTTACATATATTAGGGCTGTGAATCTTTGGGTAGACAGCGATTCGATTTGATTCACGATTCATAAGTTTATTAAATTAAATGAAATTAAATTCGATTCGATTCGATTATAACGATTCGATTCTGCATTCTTTAAGTGCATTCACAGGATTATTTAAATGCGTCCCCTAAATTCTTTAAATGCTTAGTCAGGGGGCAAATTACACAGCAGCCTTTATGGTTACAGAACCATAGGTTAGAGAAAAAAAAAACTTTTGTCCATTGTTAGATGCTATAGTTTAACGATGCTATGGCATGACATGGCATATATAGAAATTTATGTAAGCCAAGATTTTAAAAAAGAGCTTTAAAAGTATTATGTCGG